TACCCATTTTTGCCGCTAAGCAGTAATATGAGCATAAATGCGTTTTGGTTTTGAAGGGTTAAGAGTGGTGGTAGAAATTATAGGCACATGGGACTTGGCAACTTATGTTTTAGGGTGACGAGCGCAGTGGCAGTGCCCCTCAGATTTTTGCGATTTAAAGCTGTGATTGACACTGCAACTGTTATGAACAGGCATGTCGCTTGCCACCAGGCACAGGACTTGTTCGTTCCGTCACTTGGTATCATAAAACATTTATTCGGCTATTGAAGACGTCAGCCCCTCGATGGTTAACTCCGTGATGGCCTGAAGAAGAAGATCTCGGTAGGACCTATTTGGGTAACGAATGTTTTAAATTGATCCTTGTCTAGGTATTCTGAGTATAATGCCCTGGAGTTAATTTCGTTGCTGTGGCACTTGGGATCAGGTAATTGGTGTGATTATCTGGCACTATTGTTATTTAAAAAATCACAATTTATTATAATAGAGAAGGATCGCCAGCTCAGTTTAATGTTGGGAGAGCTTGAGCGCTGATTTTCAGCTACCGTTTGAGACGAGGTAAATGACTAAATACAAGACAAAGGAAAATAAAATAAAAACAAAAACCCTACTTAAAAACAATAATAAATTTACAATAGTATTATCCAATGTGTACAGTGAGCTCTTACAAAAACACAATACAAATCTATAACACAACAGTTTTTTTTAGCATACATATTTTTAATTAAAATTCAGGCATCATATTGAAGACTAATCTTGTAATTAAAACATCTACTAACCAGAAACAAAAATCTTTCTAGCCTTTACTGAAACTGCTATTTAATATTTTTTTAATTGTTCACTGTTATGTTAAAAATTGTATAATAGATATTTACACTTATTCATATTTCAACCCAATATAGACATACTTATGGACATATTTTAGAGGAACGGTAAAAATGGTTGAATGATGGTAACAGCTCTGAAATTATCATTAGCCACATATGTTAGAATGGTTAATCAAAATTAAAAGATCATTGCAGTCATTCTTTTTCAAATCAATCATTTTATCATATTAATATGAATATGGTCACATAACTGAACCTTTATTTAGTCTTCCTCTAAATATATAATAATGTCCACTAGTGTATATTCGAAAACAAACACTAGTCATGTAATTTTTTTGTGTTATATGTGATTTTCTTTTATTATGATTTTCTCTTATTGCCCCGACATTTCTGCCGCTGTCCCGTCAGTCCGTGACTAAGGAGCGTGTAACCGCTCCGAAATATCAGAATAATAGGAAAGAGTCCTAACATGGTAAAAACCTGTATCTATTGATAATGAAAACCACAAAAGCCTTTTTATACACAATTTTTCATAAAATTCTGAAATATAACAGATATTGTCAAAAAATAAATAAATAAATATGTGTCAAAAAAAGGCTCAAAATGACCTAAATTTCGAGTTCTTAGGTTTTCGCGATTGTTACACATAGGAAATGAAATTATTTTTCCCATGATCACGGTTGACTGATGGGAATGACTGATGGGACCTGTAAAGGGCCCGAAACGTCGGTTTGTTTGAAAAAACAAATATACGCGATTTAAATTCGGAAAAATAGTTTCGTTTCTTATGACCTAAATTATTACATCAACCAACTTTGTTGTCTTGCAACTTTGTTAGACACCTTTTTACATACACGAAACCACGATCGTCTTCTACAAACGATAAATTAAGTTAGTAAGATAAATCAAGCGTAGTCAATCTATCATCAAAATGATGCGAAAATAATACCAAAATGGCGCAAATCACACGATGAATGTTTTGCAAACCTTTATGTCATGTTATTTTAATGTGCATCATTTCCCTTTCGTCACTTCCATATTTATTATTAATAAGTTAAATAAATATTATTATCCTATGATATATTAAAATAATAAACTAGACAGTCACATTATTTAAAACAGTTTGGTCCATCTATCGTTTCTGCATGCACGCGTATAAAAATAATATACTCGTTAGGAGGAAGTACCTTTTAATTTTGTGGCAGGTAAGAAGAAAAGAAAAGATAAAAGCTTTCAGAAAAATGTTTCTAATCCTTTCTAAGAGTGTACAGTACTACGTTTACAGCAACGGCAATACATTCGTACGTCTGAAATCCATCCATTTGATTATAGAGAGTGGTTTTTTTAGCGTCTTTTTTTGTCGTCTTTTTTTAAAATAAATGTGAACAGGGATAAATAATTGTAATACATAGTGTTCGTATAATGTAATATTTCCATTACCTACCCCACTTGGTTACAAATTATTAAGCCACTCTCCTACAACCATTGCTTCTAAATCAAATAACCAATCGACAAACTGTAATTGCAACGTGGAAAATATCTACTGAGTTTTGGATACAATTTAAGTATATTTTCCCAAAAATCTGATGGCAAGGTGATCTTCTACTTTGGAGTGTCAACTGTATACGACGATAGAGCAATCAGGTATATTTATAAGAGGTTTCGTAATTAAATAATATAGAATTAGTAGAAAGGCGTGTGAAATAAGCATGCAAAATTTGAATGTTTTGTCCGTTATGACTATAAGCTCCAGAGTAATCAATTTATGTCTGACTGAAATACAGCCTTTCAAAAGTTAAATATGCAGCAACTAATAGTATTGAAAAATAATAAAATATTTTTGTACTGTCTAAAACACGATATGTTATGAACATGTGCTCAAGAGAGCGATAGCAGTTTGGCGTAATAATGCTTTTGGTAGCGCTAACGTAATCCTTCTAACGCCCTGTGTACAACAAAATGTAGGTACATGGTATGTGAATTGATCCAGGCTCAGACGATATATTTTTCCCATGAACACGTAAACGCCCATTGTAAAATAAAAAATTCGTATTAAAATTTAAGGCTATATAATCTACAATATGACCATAGAATATGTAGAAAAGTACGTTTTGCATACAAAGCTGAGCGCATACTTGCTTGGACCTGAAATATGTAATTGTATTTAGAACATTTGGGAGGTTAGCACTTTCCCGTTGTTGTTTGTTGAGTCTTATTAAGGTTATATTCTAAAACAACGTGAGCATAATCAGTCCATCAGTTTAGTACAATCTAGTCGCTTGGTAAAAACATCAGCTGCCATTTCATAGGGATGTAGGAAACTTCAACATTGAAGCGGTCTATCATATCCCTATCGTAATGATTTCTAACTTCAATGTGTTTGGTCCTTTTATAATGCACTTTATTAACAGATGCATGGCAGATTGATTGTCATAATATAGTACAATGTTACAAGTCCGCAAGATTAGCAATTCCTTTATAAGAACGCTTATAGGAACACCGCCTTCTACTAGCTTAATCTAATATATTTCACCAACTTATTACAAGTAAAAAATGTAGTGGAAAAATGGTATGAATAATCTCAGCACAGAGTACTAAAAAACCGATCTCAAAAGTAAGTGGAATTACATATAATTACCAAGTTTTATTGAAATCGGTTATCGGAAAGTGCGTAAACCCGGATTCATCCCCTTTTTCGCCGCTTTAGGGGACTTGACACAGGATATAATAAAAATCGGTTCTCACTACTCAAACTATATTGAGAGAGAAAAACGCCTTGAATTGGATAATAGCAAAATCAACATTAAAATAATAGCAAAATTAACCATTATAATAATCGGTTCACAAATACCGGAGTTATCGCGGAACATACATACAAAAAAAAAACATACAGTCGAATGAGAACCTCCTTGTTTTGAAGTCGGTTAAAATAGCAGTTTTTTAATGTCCAAAACCTCCTATGTTTTGGCTTAGACATCCTCTAAAGTTTCCGGAAACAAATATTAGAGAGAGCGACAGCAGTTTGATGTGAAAAATGCTTTGATGGCCTGCGTTATAATAACTATTTCTTTATGTGGCAGTGTTATAGTTATCACCCTGTATATTATGACAATGAAGATGTACGTTTGACTGATGTATGCATTCTGCGGTATGATCTTCCAACTATAACTTTACTGTGCGATTTCCAAGTACTTTCTGTGTAGTTGCCGCCTACTGCTTTTCCATAGAGAAGTATCAACAACGTACTGATAAAATTCATTGATTTATATTGAATATTTTGTATTGAAACAATATAAGCACTACAGCAAGAAAAGTAATGGCATTATACATGAACGGGCTAAGTAATAAAATAATGAACTTAACTTCGGCTGATTGCAAAATTTGAAAAAAAAAATCAGAATGTGTCTTTATATTGAATGAAAAGGTGCCTTTTCTTGAAGTATGCAATTAATTCGTCCTTGTCCTTTTTACCTGCACAGCTATTGTTCTTAATGGTATTTAAATTATTATACATTTATTTAATACCTCACAACATTGAATACAAAACTACTGGCAATGTTTCCTTATTACCAAAAAAATTTTGGCTTGAAATTATCGGTTCTTGTTTATAAGTGGATTGAGTTTACAGTCATTTTATTTAGGTCCAATTTGTATATTTATTTAGTCATTCCCTTGTTTCTTTTGATAAATTGCGTTCGTAAATTAAATTTTAATACAATTATATCCAGCCATAACTTGTAAACCAGCATTTCAGTTCAACGTGTATCTCATACGCCAAAATAAAACCCCATTTCATATTTATTTTGCTGGTAACTTGGTGGCATAAATATTTTTATTTATTGTGCATTTCCATGATTTTAGTATTTATTTTCACAAATGAAATCATTGAATGAATTATAAAAAATATTTTGAGTATAATCATTCAAAACATTTATATTTTGGCACATACATTTCTTCTAGCATAGCAAAGGAATTTATAACAAGAATTCTATTGATGTCTCTAACATTTATAAATATCTCCATGATCGGAATGTTTTGTTTATTTATAGGGTTTTTGTTTTATGTTAAATTTCCGAGATGGATTTCATATAAGAAAGCAGCCTCATTCAAATGCTTAAGCAGTAGGTATACAAGTGCGCCAAAATAAACTAGCTTTAAAAATAATATAATTTCGAGATGGTTTGGACAGGAGAAAGCAAAATATTAAAATGCTGCATTGTATTGCTCATAACATTCAGTTCTCTCGCCATATGTGGACATCGGAAAAAACAAGAACTGATATATGTACTGGAATGGACATCTGCTACTAACGAACCATTTGCATCTATAAAACCAAAGCGACAATCTGTTCTTAGCAAGAATTGTATTGACCAAAATTGTTACTTTACTAGCAATAGAGATCATTTTGACGATGTTAGAGGCTACAATGCCATTTTATTCAACATTATGAACCTTTATTTAGATATGGGACCAGTCCCATACGAGAGAGCTGATAATCAAATTTATGTTGCCGTTGGCACAGAACCAGCTGCGAATCATCCGCAAGATACTGATTTTGATATGTTTTTTAATTTAACCTGGACATATAAACTTAATTCAGATGTACCTTTTCCGTTTATGTCTATAAGAAACAATAACAGTGATCTAATAGGTCCTAAAGCGAATGGTACTCACTGGATGAACTTCACAGAGATGAAGCCAGTGAACAAGTATATTAAACGTAAGCTGCGGAACAAAAAGACTGCAGCGGCATGGTTTGTGTCAAACTGTTATGCAAACAAAGAACGAATTGACTTCGGTCAAAATTTAACACAGGAATTAGCTAAGTATGGACAAACATTAGATATTTATGGAACTTGTGGAAATAAGACTTGTCCTAAAGATCAAATGGATGAATGTTTTGCCTTAATTGAATCCGATTATTATTTTTATTTAGCGTTTGAGAGTTCTTTCAGCGAAGATTATGTAACTGAAAAGATTTTAACTGCATTACAACATTTTGCAGTACCAGTGGTATTTGGAGGTGCAAACTATACCAAGTATGTTAAGTGTCCTATCACATTTTGTTTTCATTCAAATGGTTTTGTGTTATTTTAGTATAAGTTGTAATAAGAATTATGATAAATATAAATATAAAATATTTTTCAGATTTATGCCCAATGGAACATATTTAGATGCCCGAGCTTTAGGACCAGCAAAACTGGCAAAAGAGATGAATGACATCATAAAAGATAAGAATAGATACTATGATTTCTTTAGGTGGCGCCGATATTATCGGTATGATGCCTCTTCGGATAATGCTGACTCTGATGGCATCTGCGCTCTTTGTACTGCACTGAACAAAGCGTCAAGAAGTGATGAAAGGCGTGTATATGCACGTTTCCGGGAATGGTGGAATGAGCTGCAAGATGGAGGAACCCATGCGAATCCTATTGCTAAGTTACCTCCAAAAGCACGAGACGCAGTTAATTACAGGCCAACAGAAGTTGCAGAAACACATATTCCTGGAATGACACCTCCACCTACATTATTACAAAGTTTTACACAATTTTTGGGAAACATATATAGTTATTATTTCGAAATTCAAACCTAATTTCAATTAAAACGTATCCCAAAATGGAAATAGACGAGCTTGTATATATATGTAATAAGTTGACGTAAAAAGAATGAAACAAAGAAGGAGTATCAAAACCGTGGTAGCTAAAGTACCGTAGACCCTAGAAGAGAAGATAAATGTAATTCTATTGAAAATCTAAGGCAAGAGAAAATTTCATGAAAACAACTCGTGCTAGTGTTTTGAAAGTATGGAAAATAAATAATTTAATACCAACGTATGTATGTGTTTATAGATTGGACAAAAATGAATTGATGAGCTTATAAATAGAGATTACTATTCATTATTGTTTTAAAATTTGCTTCAACAAATACTAAAATGTTTAATTAATTTTGCAGTTGCGCAAAAGTTAAGGCGTAAAAATAATTTGCAAATTTAATTGCAATTGATAAGAAATTTGTGACAAAAAATTTATAAGATCTATCAAATCTGTCAAGTTTATTTTTGTTTTTGATAAGTGGTTTTTTATTGTTGATACAAACATCGAACAAAAACAAATACAAAAAAAAATTCGATCCAGTTGGATTTAAACCACCGATTTCGCCAAACCGGGGCTACCGTTCTTCCAACTGAGCCGCGGAACGATTCAATGGATCTTACGAATTTCAGTTGTGCCCGTTGCAGATCTTTGTTTTTATTTTACTAAATATGTTAAAATATAATATTACAAAATGTACTGTTTCGATATTGTTTTTCCGCCTAAAAACGCAAAATTTTCTTTACAATATTACATACAAGATTTAATATCCCGGCAAAACGGTATTCGTAACTTACTACAACTACAATATTGAATGCTTTTAAACAGCTTTAATGATAAGATTATAATGTTAGCAAAATATTGAAAAGGCATACGTAGCCATCGACGAGACGAAGTTATTTGATAAGGAAAAAAATAGTGTGTCATATGAGGAAATCAAAGTTAGGGCGTTAAACAGAGATGATTGGCGATTACTCCACCGGCAAGAGCCTAGCTCTTAAATAAGAAGAAGAAAGACAAAATACATAAAAACTTGAAATAGAAGAATTTATAAAGTTGCGTGCTTCACCCACTATTTTTTAATCTATTTAAGTAATTTATAACAAAAAATTAAGATTACGTCAGGTTGTAATCTTAGGTGATCAAATCGATTACAGAAGTCAGTGAAAAAGAATGGGTTTGTTGTTACATGAATACATAATATTTATATTGTAACAAAATAATGTTTATGTTGAAAGATTTAAAAGTCAAACACAGTATTGCCTGATATTATTTGACATTATAGAGCACATAAGTGTGCAATACTTTTGGTTTGCTCTTTTTTAATACCTAAATAAAATGGTTGGGAAACTTGGTAAAAGAAGATGCGGTTTAAGCGAAGTTATATTAGTTATAGTGTTACATGTTTTTAATATAAGTGGACATGAAAAGCAAAACGACCTAGTCTACATGCTTATGTGGACATCATCAATCACAGATCCCTTCGCGTGGATGGATACGGATCAAGACACTTTTATCAGCAGGAAATGTCTCTATCAGAACTGTTTCATTACCAATGACATGGCGTATTTCCAAGATGTATCAGAATTTGACGCCATATTATTCAATGTGGTTAACCTTCAAAGTGACATGGAAAGACCACAAGTTCGCTCTCAGAAACAAATTTATACGTTTGTTGGCATGCAATCTTCATCAAACTATCCAGTGCCTGACACTTATAATGGATTTTTTAATCGTACATGGACATATAAACTTGATTCCGATATTTACTTTGGTCATATTATAATAAAAGATAACCAAGACAAAATAATAGGGCCTAAGAAAAATATGCATTGGATGGATGTAAAACGTATGAGACCAATCACTAAATATATTAAACATAAGTTACGAAAAAAGAGCGTTGCAGCAGCGTGGTTTGCATCAAACTGCAAAACAAACAGTAGACGTGAGGTCTTCGTCAGTAATCTTAGTGAAGAATTAGCACGTTATGGACACCGAATAGATGTATTTGGTAGCTGTGGAGAATTGGAATGTTCGGTAGACCGAATGGATGAATGTTTTGCCTTAGTGGAAACAGATTATTATTTCTACTTGGCCTTTGAAAATGCCCTCAGTGAAGACTATGTGACTGAACAGGTGCTATTTGCGTTAGAACACTTTGCAGTACCCGTAGTTTATGGAGGAGCAAACTATACAAGGTAAATCTATTTCACTTTCTTTGTCCGCTACTACCTTAAGTTAAATAATTATTGCTAGTTTAGTAAAATATAAAATTGTCGTAGATGCAGACTATCGAGTTCTTAGGTTTTCGCGATTTTTTAAATCTAATTCGCGCATATTGGTGTTTCAAACAAACCAAGGTTTCGGGCCCTTTGCAGGTCCCATGTTCACGGCTGACAGAATCTGGGAAATCTTTTTCATTGTTGTAGATAAATGTATAAAGGTAACATGAAAACACACTAATCAAATTGTTTTAGAGATTTTTTTGTATTATCGTAATATTATTTTATTACGATTACATTACACTCGAAATCGTACGTACATTCATACGTAGAAATTTCCCGTACTGAAGTACGGGAAATTTCATGGCAAATGACTATATGTTTAAGTCTCCTGGTGCAATTTTATTACTGATGACATAATGTTGTTGAGTGAAAATTATTTTTGGTATCTATTTCGGAGACTAGTGGCCTGGAGTTCCCAAATGAAAAATGGAATAAAATAAATACAATGTACTATTATAATATCTCCAAACCTTATTTAGATTATACTACATAGCAAGAATTCAGCCCTGCGTGCTCAGTTATGGTTTAATACCATCTTTAATGTTAGATCAATATGTTGAGTACATACGATCTTTTAGAAAAACAAGGTTGATGCGTAAAGATCAAGAAAGAAAGAAGATCAAGAAGCGTAAAGTTACATATCTCGGTTACGTGCTTCGATAGATACTGACTGCTTCTGAAGACGTAAAAGTCAAGGTTATGCAACATAAGGGAGCGGACGGTGTGATGAGCGCTAAACAACTGTTTCATTTGGCCTTGGACAAGGCCAAATTTGCCTGACGGCCAACCTGCAGTAGTTTAGTTTAGTTAGTAGCACTTTAAGAAGAAGAAGAGTAAGAAAAACAAAAACGTATCACTTTTTTCTTTAGTTTAAATTTCGATAGTAAAAGCTCCGACATATGCTGCACTCTCCTCCTACTGGGGTAAGCACACTATGGACCTGCTACCTGACAAACCTCCTTCGCTTTTTCCACTTCCATCAGTCTCTTCATACATGTCCGTTTATTCTTGATACTTTTGAACCCGTCGTTTTTTAAGAATATCCTCAATCTGATTGAGATATGTACGCTTAGGTCTACCTCTCTTTACACCTCTCTCCAGATTCACTGCAGATAAATTTGTGCCGTCAATCTACCAACTTTTATTCATTTTACATGACTAAACCATCCACATTATCTTTCATGCCACAGCGTTGTTAATTTTATTATATTGTTTAAGGTTTATGCCTGATGGAATATATTTGGATGCAAGGAAATTAGGAGAATCCGGACTAGCTCTAAAAATGTATGAAATAATAAATGATAAAGAACAATATTACGACTTCTTCAAATGGCATAGGTATTACAGCTTCCACGGCACTGACGAGAGTACAGAAACGGATGACTTTTGTGTATTTTGCGCTACGATGAATGACTTGGTTCAAAGAAATGAAAGCAGTACATACGTTAGCTTATCTCAGTGGTGGAATGGCAATGTACAGGTCATTAAATCTTTCGCGTTAAATTATCGCGAATCGATAAAAGTGATCCCAGTAACAAGAGAACCGGTTTATCAGCCGAAACTCAATCGCCGTAAGAAGAAAAAGCATCGTAGTCGAGATAGCAAACCTTTACGGGAGATAATTTCCCACTCGAAACCTGGAAGTCCAGTCAAGAAAGATGACAAAAATAATAAATATGTTACCACGACTACTCTAGGACCAGTCACTCAAACTCAAGAAAAAAACGCAAGTGAATCTATTATATCGATCAATGTTAATGGATCTCCCAATCAAGCTAAGGGTTCTGGTAGTTGGACGAAACAAGAATTTGAATTTGAGTATGATTATGAAAAATAGATTTAAGTGCAAATTTCACAAAAAAAAGTAACAAAGCTTAAAATTTTTGATTATATATGCAGTCTGCTTTGAAGACCTACCAAGTATTATGAATAGATTTTTAATGCACAGTAATTTATAATTCGTAGAATATTTTGTAAATATTTATGTACTAAATAAAGGTAAACAATTATTATATGCATATTATTATGAGTGTTTTAAGAAAAATGTTTCCCTGTTTTGATAAAAATCTTTACAAGTAGGTAAATTATTAATTAAATAAAGATCTAAAAAAATGCTCCATGATTTTGGGAATTTCACTGTAATTCTATTGTTAGCTGTCTTAGCTAGGTTACGTTATGGCGTCCTGCGTGATTTACGCGTTTATCGTGAAGACATCGAGGGGAAAGACCCTGCGACAAGATGAGCAGAGCTGAGAGCTCCTGTCTCTTAGGCACTGATGGGACACCGTCAGGTTTTAGTCAGTATAAAGCCGACATAAATCTTTGCCACGAGAGCGGATGGTATCCATGGGAGTTTCCTGACGTAAGTAAAAAGTTCATACCGAATACAACCAAGCACACAGCATTCGCGGGGAAGGGGCTTTCGAGAACTGAGCGTGCCTTACAGCTCCGCCACCAATGAGGAGATTTGGTAGTCGGTTTAGAGTCGACTACCAAATAGTTAGTTGCGCAAAGCGCGACGGGAAGTGGGCGTGCCTATAGCTCCGGTACCTATCTGGAAAATTGGGAGGGTGCTGTACGTGCACCCGGGGCGACTCATCTAAGGCCTTATAGAGAACCGGATGAAGTTCGTGCAAACGGGCTGATCTGGGGTTCGGACCTGGCTTTGTTGGTTCATGTGCGGGCTTGCTCGCACTGGTTATAGTGCTCTTCCCGCATAACCAAGAGGTTGATAGAGGCGGTCCCCATAAACAAAACTTATGTAGAAAGATATGGGACTGTTCTCTTGGCCCCTCACTCAGCAGGAAAACAACTCTAATTAACTTTTATTTTACATGGAAATATTTGGTCAAAATACCTTTATACGAAGTGTCTTATATGAATGGAATTTTGTACAATCATCCATTTTAAAGACAAAACACGTCTAGCTGTGAAAAGGGTTATAATATATTATTAATGTAAAACAAAACATTCACCAATGCTGAATAAGATGGTAAATCTTTAAGGTAGCATAATGTCAATTCTCGACGGTTTTCATTAGGATGATTATTATGCCAATGTCCGTCCATTTCAAAAATAAATTAAATTCGTTTACAATATACCTAAATTATAAGTTTAGTTTACATCTATGTATATACCATAATTTAAAAATTATTAACTTGTACTATATATGTGAAATGTATTAAATGAATATGAAGTCTTTCTCCTGCAGTTTTCAGAAAATGGACAAAATTATAAATATTAACAATACAAAACTGAAGTGAACCATTTATATATTTTGTTGTAGTTTAATTTTTATTTCAAATACAAATAAACTTTCAAAAGTAAATTTAAAACAAACAACCAGTGGAGGAATCATTCCTGGGTATTATGACTTTTAGGTTGATTTTAGAGGTATATTGCATAGTTCTTTTTTTATGTAACGATTCGTGAACAATGAACAATGCTTACTTTTAAGAGTCAACTTTGTATTTTAGCTGTATCTACTGCGCTACGACTTTGCCTACACTAGACAACTACCACGAGACACCGACAACAATTTCAAGGTCATTTTATAGTAAACAGTACCTTAGCGCGACGAGAGTATAATTATCAAAAGCTTAAGCCCCTGCTTACACTTCAGATTTAAATTCAACTTGGATAAAGAACGGTTCAAGTATAAAAGCTCAGCTTACTCTTGAATGTCAAAGGCAACCTTAAATCTAGTGGTCACTTTTGTTACAAAATACAAGAGTCCTCAAATATAATGAATACTGGTAGTGTTAATTGTATTTGGGTACTATTTTATTGTTAGTGGTAATCAAATGTCATATAATTATCACAATTTAATTGTGACTTATAGGCAACTCAAAATGATTGTACCATGAATAGGTGAACGACCCTATCCAAGCTGCGACCTAGCATTTAAAACGAGTAGCGCGGGATGCCAGCGAAACCACGGTATGTCATTATGATGGACTTGAACGACCGAAGCTTTGAGATCATATACTAGACACATGCCTATACATAATTCTTTTCTTTCCGCATTATATTATATAATAGATTATTAGTAGAAATTTATAATAATAATGATTCATTTATAAAAACAAACTGATCTCAAAAATTTATCCCCTTTTCGCTATGGTCATTACCACCACCATTTTATATCAGATCAGCTCTAGGCACCATAACATTTATTTTCATTGGATATTTTTTTTTTATAATATTAAGTGACGGGACGATCAAATCATGCACCTGATGGTAAGCTACACGCCTATCCATAACAGTTGCAGTGCCATTCAGAGCTTTAAATCGCAAAGATAGTGCCAAAGTGAATGAAATTTGACCCGTATACCACTTTTGGAGGTAGAATATTCGAATTTGGTACCCCTTTCCAACGAAAAAAGAATCATTGAAATCGGCTCACAAATTTCGGAGTAATCGCGTAACATACAAACAAAAATATACAGTCGAATAGAGCAACGCCTCCTTTTTAACCGACTTAAAAAAAGGAGGAGGTTCTCAATTCGACTATACGATTTTTTTAATGTATGTTACGCGATAACTCCGTTATTTCCGTTATTCCGCATTTGTGAACCGATTTTGATGTTTCTTTTTTTGTTGGAAGGACGGTACCTCGATAGTAGTCCCATTTAATTTTGAAGAAAATATTCCACCTCTAAGGGTGGATGTTCACGTATGAAGACTTATTTTTTATAAATAGCACCTAAATTGTATAAGGAGAATTGATTTTAGTACTTGGTTTTGCTATGCTCCAATTGAAGGCGTTTTCTCTCAATATACTTTAAGCTGTGAGCATCGATTTTTATTATCTCCTGTGTTAAGTCCCGTACATGGTCCTAGACCGAAGCTGGATTTTGTCTACCTGGATTGAAGGATATATAAGCTTCAAATCAAGAAAATAAGTGAACTTAACTG